TCGCCCTGGTAGTGGTAGCGGTAGAGGTAGTAGTAGTAGAGGTAGTAGTACTAGTAGTAGTATTGGTAGTAATAGTACTAGTAGCAAACGTAGTGGTAGTAGGGGTAGTAGGTGAAACGGTCGTTGTAGTAATAGTGGTGACAGTAGCAGCAGCGCCAGTAGAAGCAGCGCCAGTAGCAGCAGCGCCAGTAGTAATAGTAGTGGTGGTAGTAGCAGCACCAGTAGTAATAGTAGTGGCAGTAGTAGTAGTAGTAGTAGTAGTAGTAGTAGTAGTAGTAGTAGTAGTAGTAGTAGTAGTAGAGTAGTAGTAGTAGTAGTAGTAGTAGTAGTAGTAGTAGTAGTAGTAGTCGTAGTAGTGGTAGTAGTAGTAGTAGTAGTAGTAGTAGTCGTAGTAGCAGTAATAGTAGTAGCAGTCGTGGAGATAAGAGTAGTAGTCGTAGAACTAGTAGTAGTGTTATAGTAGTAGTAGTAGTAGTAATAGTAGTAGTAACCGTAGTAGTAGTAGCAGCAGTGGCTAGTCGTAGTAGTAGTAGTAGTAGCAGTAGTAGTAGTAGTAGTAGTAGTAGTAGTAGTAGTAGAAGTAGCACCAATAGTGGTAGTGGTACTTGTAGCCCTGGCAGGAGTAGCCGTTGCAGTAGCAGCGTTGAGGGTAGCAATTGTAGTAGTTGTAGTTGTAGTAGTAGTAGTAGTAGTAGTAGTAGTAGTAGAAGTAGGAGGAGTGGTAGTAACAATAGCAGTAGCGATCGTCATAGTGATAGTCGCAATACTGCCAGTTAGTGGTACTCAGAAGCCAGCGGCTGGTAGCTAGCCTCTCGTAGTTAGTGGCAAATATAGTGGCTGCGTGTTGCTAGCCGTTGCTTATCGCAGTTAGTACTTGGTACGTAGTAGTTGGCGGTAGTCATCGTAGTTGTTCTAACAGCGGTACCAGTGGTAGTCTGAGTAGAAGTCTTAGAAGCATGGATATTAGTAGTAGTGGTCAAAGTGGTAGTAGTTGTAGCAGCCGTAGTGGTAGAGGGAGTCGTAGTAGTAGTAGTAGTAGTAGTCGTAGTAGTAGTGCTAGAAGCATTAGCAGTAGGTAGTAGCAGTCGCGGTAGCAGTAGCAGTAGTGGCAGTAGTAGTAGTAGTAGTAGTAGTAGTATTAGTAGTAGTAGTAGTAGTAGTAGTAGTAGTAGTGGTACTAGTAAGTAGTAGTAGTAGTGGTACTAGTACTAGTACTAGTAGTACTAATAATGATAGTAATCGTAATAGTGGTGGTTGTAGTGGTAGGAGCAGCGGTGATAGAAATAGTAGTAGTAGTAGTAATCGTAGGAGTAGTAGTCGTCGTAGTGGTCGTAGTAGTAGTAGCAGTACAACAGTAGTAGCAATTGCAACTGTAATTGCAACCGTCGTAGTAGTAGCCGTCGTAATAGTAGTAACAGTGGTAGTAGTAGTAGTAGTAGTAGTAGTAGTAGTAGTGGTAGTAGTAGTGGTAGTAGTAGTAGTAGTAGTGGTAGTAGTGGTAGTAGTGACAATGGAAGTAGTAGTAGTAGTCGTAGTAGTAGTGGTAGTTGTTGTTGCTGCTGCTGTCATTCTTCCAGTTGCTTTAATACTTCCAGGGGTAGTAGTAGTAGCAGCAGCAGCAGTAGCAGTAGTAGTAATAGTAGCAGCAGTAGTAGTAATAGTAGCGGTAGTAGTATTAGCAATACTAGTAGTAGTAGCCGTAGTAGTAGAGGGAGTCGTAGTAGTAGTAGTAGTAGTAGTAGTAGTAGTAGTAGTAGTAGTAGTACGAGTAGTGGTAGCAGTAGTAGTAGTAGTAGTAGTAGTAGTCGCAGTTGTAGTAGTAGTAGTAGAAGTAGCAGTATTAGTTGCAGTAGCAGCTGCACGAAAGAGTGGTAGTCGTGCTAGTGGTAGGTAGGTAGGTAGGTAGGTAGGTAGGTCGGTAGGTAGGTAGGTAGGTAGGTAGGTAGGTAGGTAGGTAGGTAGGTAGGTAGGTAGGTAGTAGTAGTAGTAGTAGTAGAAGTAGAAGTAGAAGTAGTAGTAGAAGTAGTAGTAGTAGTAGTCGTAGTAATCGTAGGAGTAGTTCAAGTGGTAGTAGTAGTAGTAGTAGAAGTAGTAGTAGTAGTAGTAGTAGTAGTAGTAGTAGTAGTAGTAGTAGTAGTAGTAGTAGTAGTAGTAGTAGTAGTAGTAGTATCGTAGTAGTAGTAATAGTAGTAGTAGTAGTAGTAGCAGTAGTAGTAGTAGTAGTAGTAGTGGTGGTGGTAGTAGTAGTAGTAGTAGTAGCCGTACAACTATTAATCGTTGTTGTCTTGGCCGTAGTAGTAGTCGTAATAATAAGAATAGTAGTATACTAATATGGTGTCTGGTGTATGGTGTCTTGTGTTTGGTGTTTGATGTTTGGTGTTTGGTGTTTGGTGTTTGGTGTTTAGTGTTTGGTGCTTGGGGGTTGGGGGTTGGGGGTTGGGGGTTGGTGTTTGATGTTTGATGTGTGGTGTTTGGTGTTTGATGTTTGGTGTTTGGTGTTTGGTGTTTGGTGTTTGGTGTTTGGTGTCTGGGGTTTGGGGGTTGGTGTTTGGGGGTTGGTGTTTGGTGTTTGGTGTTTGGTGTTTGGTGTTTGGGGGTTGGTGTCTGGTGTTTGGGGGTTGGTGTTTGGTGTTTGGTTTGTCGTGTTTGGGGAAAGCGGGAAAACCTGTGAATGTCTCACCAGGAGAAATAACCGACCCAACATTTGCGTCATTTCACCCGGAGAAGTAACCCTCTTCCCGGAGAAATCACCCTTTTCCCGGAGAAGAACTTGTTGCCCTCCTCCTCCTCCTCCTCCTCCTCGTCCCGCTCTCCCTCTTCCTCGGACGTTGTCCCAAAGGCTTTCCCCAACTGCTGGGGGGAGCCCATAGCCCAATAGCTTGACCAAACTGTGGCCAAACGCTGGGCTACGTAAGGGTGCCAAAAAAGGGTAAGGGGCAGCGGTGGTTCGCGGTAAGCGTCTTCGATACGCTGGCCCCGTAGTCTTCGGGAGGGGTCCTTGGCATGCTAAACGTGTGAATGCTTGTTGGCCCTTCCCAACAAGAGTATCCATGCCACTGGCCACCAGGAAGCGCCCGAGCAAACCCCAAACTCAAAACGGGTTGCCTCCAAGATTGCCAAAATGGCCTGCAAGACAGCCCGATACAGTCCCAGATGGCCTTTAAGAGGGTCGGAGTCCAAGGAGTGCAGGACACTGTTCAGTTCGCCTGATATTATTCTCGAGTGGGCCCAAGACGGCCTCAAGTTGGCAGGGAAGAGAGAGAGAATAGGAAAGACGAGGACGAGGACGGCGAGAAGAAAATAATAAGAATCGTCCGACCCCCGCTTGCCCGGGTTGGAAAGGCGTGTGAGATGATTGGCTGTCCCCCCTCCCCCTTTCCCCCTCTCCCGGGGTCGAACATCCCGTTAGAGGAGGTCCTCATATAAACTCGTCAACACGCCTCGGCGGACCTGGGAGCCTCCAACGACACCCTCCGTCGCCTCTGAGCTTTCCAATATGTCTTCCAAGACTGATCGCGAAGAGCTCCAACACGCCAGAGAGGCTTCAAAAACAAACAACATGGCCATCAGGTCGACCCAGGAGGACCGGAAGACGCCCAAAAAGGGCCCACGAGTACCAACAAGACGGCCGCAATAGGCCACCATCATTGGTTTTGCAACGCTGTTGGAGAATGTCGGCGCTCTTGCCATGCGGACGGCACGAGAGGCCCCGCATGGTGGCCCAAGACGGCGGAAAAGGCCCCTGAGAGGGTCCAGAGGTGGCCCAAGGGGGCCCCAAGACTGCCCAACAGACCTCCAAGACGGCGAAACAATGACTATCAAGAGAGACCCCAAAACTGGGCCAGAGAGGCCCAAGGAGGGGGACCTCGTAGGGGCCCTGGGAGCCCTCCCCCAGTAGAATGCAACTAAGACGTCCAAGATGCCCCCCAAGATGCCCGCAGGAAGCCCTCAGAGGCGACAAAAGCATCCAGTATCATTGAAAGGCTCGCAAAAGGCCGCCCCAGAGGCCTCCTTTAGAGCTCCCAAGAAGGCCCGCAACAGACGCGAATGAAGCGGGGACAAGCCAGAGCACCTACACGCAGGTAGCAAGACGGGGACGCGGCAAGCAATGCATACGAAATCGGAAGCCACACATCTCCCCTTCTGGGGGTCGGCGAAATGGCGTGCAATCAAAACCAGCGAGAGGAATGGACATTCAGGGTGCAAATGACCCTTGTATCTCCCCGCATGAAGAACATGAAACCGCCGACTCTCAATAACACCCAAGGATTCAAAGGAACCTAGGCCGGCAGCATCCTTGCCCCAGAGTGCCCGGACGCATCGGGAACGTCGCATTTGAAGCCGAAACGTGCTAAAAATGGCCAGAACCGAAGGATACAAGGTGCCATTACGAGAATGGCCAATGCTTCACGCCGGTTTTGACTGTGAGCCTCCTGAACAATAGGGAGGAGCATGATGACAACCCAGACATCCGACGCTCCAATTTTTTCGACGCGTGGACCCCGGTAGAACTGGACCACTTCCTCAGGGCCAGTTTTCCGTTCCGAATCGTTCTTTGACGGTCCCAGTGCCCAGCGAGGGCCTCTGGAGGCCGAAAACGGTACAACTGGCCGCCCCGATTTTGTCGGAGCGCCGGGTCTCTGGGCAATCAGGAGGACGACAAGGAGGGCGATAAAGACCGAGCAGGACGAGAAAGGAGGAGAGAGGGCGAGCGCTCGCCCGGATTGGGGGCGGCGCACGGCGCGCCAGCCTTCGGGGGCAACTCATGGGAGCCTCCCACACCATCGTGTCGGCGCTTGCGAATCGGCGCTGATCGACGCTGCCGCTAAATCGACGCCAATCGACGCTAGCTCGACGCTAATCGACGCCAGCCGACGCCAAATCGGCACCAACTCATCGACTCCCAGACGCTAACCGACGCTACTCGTCGCTAGTGACGGAACTGCGAGGGTACACCAGGCTCCCATGATCTGCTACCGAACCAGCCCCCCCCCCCAGGCCTGCAGCGCCGCTGACCAGCAGCGAGCCTAGGAGGCCAATCCTGCCGCAGCCGGCGGGGCGGGGCGGGGGCCCTCTCTCGGTGGCGAGCTGGCAGTCCAGCGGCCTGCGTGGGGCCAGTGGGGCCCTCTTGGCTGTTTCTGGGCTCTCTTGAGGCCGTCTTGGGGCCCTCTTGGCCACACGTGCGGTGTCTTGGGGCTGTCGTGGGGTCATTTTTTTTTGTTTTGTGTTTTTTCTCTCTCCAGGCAAACTATGGCCCAACAGGTGTGCAACCACTTCGTCAAGAAACCCACTAAATGCCCTCTTGCCCGCTTGTGTGGCCTGGCTAATTGAGGCCGCTTAGGGCAGCACCGCAGTCGCTGGTATTTCAGTCTCTGCCGAATTTGAAAAAGGTGGAAGGCCATTCTGCTCAGGACGCAACTGAACACAAGGCTCCAAGGGCTTTGTGCCCCCAGCGAAAGCGTGTAGCCAGCCGAGCGAGTTCAGATTCCCCGATCAAACTATGGCCCATCGGGTGTGCCACCACATCGTCATCTTGCCCGCACGTGTGGCCTGGCCAAATGAGGTCGCACTTTTGGCCGCACAGCATTCGCTGGTTGTTCTACCAGCCCCTGCCAAGTCGCAAAAAAATGGAAGGCCATCTTCCATAGGGACGCAATTCCATTACGTGGCTTCAACGGCCTTGTGCCCCCTGCGCGAGCCTGAGGCCAGCCGAACAGGTTCCGAGTGGAACAAGCTTGATCAGATCACCTCGCGGTGTCTGCAGCCATCAGGGTCGAAAGGATGCAGCCGTTGGCGCCATAGTGACCAGCACCAAAAGATAACTCAGAAGGAATCAGTATCGCATCGCAATGTCCAACTGCATGGAGGGAGGCTTGTCAAGGAACCCCTTCTGCAACGTCGGGCTAGGTTCTGTCATAGACTTCAGGTGCTTGAGAAACGTGGACATGGGCATTCCCTGGCCATCCTCCACGCCCATCGTGGCGAAGATCTCTGTCACCTGCTCCGCAGTGTAGTAGATGATGAAGTGGCGCAATCCTCTCCGCATCTCCACCCTGCTGACGATGCCGTCGCCGTCGTCGAACAGCCTCATCGCGGCGTGCACCGTGCGCTGCTGCGTCGGCAGCAGGCTCGACACATGCAGGCCCGAGAGGCTCTTGCAGACCTTCCTTCGCGGGTCGCCCTCCTCCACCTCCACATCCACGGCCCCCTCCTCCTCGTCCGCAAGTGAGCCCCCGCGCGCCCAGGAGTTTCCCTGCAGCAGGGGCAGGCGTGGCAGCGATACCGCAACGCTCATCGCCACATCCCTCCCCCCAGGTCCGCACTCATTACACTGTGCTCGAAGTATGTTCGTGCTCGTGTGCGCTCTCTGGCTGGCAGTCTGTGACATTTTTACGTTTGTGGCGTGGAATTGCCAGCATGGGGACGTCGAGCGCTATCAGGACCTGTCCGAGGAGTTTCGATTTACTGACATTCTTGCTGTGACCAGCACGGGCGAAAGAGCTGAGGCATATCGTCTTCCGGTGTGCACGGACCTCCGCTTTCACTTCGTGCTGCGATGCGGTTTCGTCCCAGGCGTGCACGTCTCTCGAGCCTGCGGCATCGCTCTCCTTCTGCGCAAAAGGGTGTTCAAACCGAAGGACGTGTACGATGTCCCGAGCGTCCCGATATCTCTGCAGGGTCGTGTGGCAGTCTTCCGACTTCGCCCTGGGCGATTCGACATAGTGATCCCGATTCTCTACTTCCCGCCACGGCCGTCCTCTCGGCGCATCGGGCGAGAGACGCTGGCGGGCCCTCCAGCGCATGCACGCTACCGCGACACGGTCAATGTCACGTGCCAGTGGTTGGAGCGCACGCTGACGTGGACAGAGAAGCGCTCGGCGCTCCTGATGGTCTTCGACCTCAACGACTCTTTCGGGGCGCGCCAACTGCAGGGCCAGAACGCGCGGGTGCAGTCTCCAGCGCTGGGCCCGTTCGCACAGCACCAGCAGAGGTACGCGGCAGACCAGGTGCTCGAAATTTTCGAGAAGCATGCGGTGACCGTGGCCACCACGCTCTTCAACGTTGGCGACACGTACTTCGGGCACCAGGGGTCGAGCTGCGTCGACTACATCGGGGTGTACGCGTGGCAGCTCCCGCATGCATGGACATGCATTGCGTTGCGCAGGAAGAACTTACGCCCTAAGCTCAACCTGCAGAAAGGCTTGCAGGACCACGTGCCGATTCTACCCAAGCTTGACTACGATTTCACATTTCGGGCCCAGCAGGCGCCCCCCGTGCGCTGGAGCTTTGACAAGCTCGCGGCCGCCCTCAAGCATGGACAGGGTGTGGCTGAGTTCCTGGCCGACCTCGAGCAGCAGTTCGAAGGAGCAGGCGACTTCGACGACATGACGCTGCACGCTTCGTCCCCAGATGCTGCATGGGAGCGCTGGATCACCATCGTCCATGCCACTGCGGCTCGTCACTTTGACTGCCGACGCGAACAGGATCAGGAGATGCTCGACCTTGCAGCTGAGCGAAGTCGGCTACTTCGGGAGCGTCGAGATCAACGTGAGCGGGGAGACGGCGGAGATGAGGCAGGAGTTCAGCTTGCTCGCTGCTCGCGGCGCCTTCGCGCCCTGCGTCGGCGTCAGTTCGAGGTCGTCGCGACTCAACTCGTGGAGGAGATCGGGGTGGCGTGGAAGCGGCAGCGCCACGCCGAAGTGTGGCGCTTGGCTCACGCCCTTGCAGGGCGCTGCGGAGGTCCTCGGCGACGCCGCTACAACCTCGCGGAAACGTTTGTGCCCCGCGCTTCGGAGGCCTGCGCCCACTTCAGCGGCCCAGGCCATGCTGGAGGGTTTGCCGCGGTGCCAGTGGACTTCATGGAATACCAGCAGCAGCTGCTGGAGGACTTGCCGCCGCCTGCGTTGATGGGCAGTGACAACTACTTGCGCGTGGAGCAGGCACGGGGGGATCTTGAAGAGGTCGTGGAGCTAGCGGCGAAGGCCCCGAGGCGCAAAGCCGCCCCCCTTCACTCGGTGCCGACGGAGGTGCTGATGACAGTGCTAGACCCGAACAGGCGCTTCGACGGCAGCTACCGCAAGCCTCGTCGACGTGATGAAGAGGGTGCTGATGATGGTGGTGAGCGTCCTCCTCCTCGTGCCGAGTTCATCCCACGGCAGCGTGCTGGCGCGGATCGGCGCGGCCTGGGCGCTGACCCTCAACAGGTGGCGATCTCCAACAAGTACTCCTACCAGGCGCTGCAGAAGGTGTTCGCTCACATTCGGCGGGTTCGGCGAACACCTGTGGTCTGGCATCACTCCCGTGCGACGGGCTTGGACAAGCACAACCACAAGGACGGCTTCTCCGCGCGCCGCTACATCCACGGCCTGTGTAGGATGGGGGTCCTCTGGTTCAAGGCACAGCTCCGTCGCGGACCTGCAGATGAGGTGCCTGATCGCGAGCACGGCTACTTGCGTGGTCGCAGCAGGGAGGGTGCGCTGCTTTGCCAGGAGGCCCTCTTGGGCCGCCTTCGCCAGGCTGGTGTGTCTACGGTGACGGCGAAGGAAGACATGGCGAACGCGTTCGGCTGTACGACGTTCTCTTCGTTGCGAGAGACGGTGGAGCACTCTGTCCGTGCTGATGTTCAGCGTTACTTTCACCAGCGGCATAAGAACAGCACGTTCACCGTGACAGCCGCAGACAAGGAGCAGACCATGCACAACCTCTGCGGTGCCTTCATTCGGGGAGACGTAAGACCCGGGCACGGGGGACTCGGAAATCCCCGACGAGGTCGTCAAACAAATGACGAGGCCGAGCCTGCATTTTGACGAGGCCTCCCGCTGCAGACATCCCACAAAACTCCTCCTCGTCAAAATCCGAGTCGCGGTCGTCAAAAAACGATGGCGAACCCGAGTCCTGGCAAACCCGGGTCTTACGCTCCCCCGATTCATGGGCGACACGCCAGCGGCGGTCTTCTTTGCCAGGTCCTTCCGGCGTCCCGTTCAACAGAGGCTGGATGCACTTCGGGCTGAGACGTGGGCGGGCGAGCCCCCGCCGCGCCCGCACTCCTACGAGGAGTGGCTGGATCAGGAGCTGGTCCCGCCCGCACCGCCGTCTACCCTTGACGACGTGATCTGGCCGAGTGAGGCGCTGTGCACGGCATGGGTCCCCATCCTGCAGCGCGCGGTGGACCTCTCGTGCCGCATCTACGCCGACGACACGAGCAAAACCCACATCGTCACGAGCGCGCGGAACGCGCAGTACACACTCGAGCGAGCCCACAGTCACCTGCGTGCGGCGTTGTCCTCGGATGGGTACGTACACAAGGAAGGAAAAAACAATGTTTCCCCTTCGTTTGTGGGGGCTGGCGCTCATGCCCACAACTCCGAGATCTTCGGGGGCTCCGTAGGGCTCCCAGGTCAGGTCCAGTTCGACAGCGTTGCTCTGGGGATTCAGACGGCCATCAACGGTGGGACCAAGGGAGAGCTCAAACGCAGGATTCTGGCGGCCCGTCGCGGCTACTATTCCATGGGGCGGTTCTGGGCGAAGAACAAGGTATGGAGGCTGACGAGGACGGTGTTTGGAGCTGTCGTTCAGGGGGCTCTTCTGTCGGGATTGGGTATTCTTCTGTTATCGGAGGCGCAGGAGGCTCGTCTCGATCGTGTTCTGGTTGGTTTTGCTCGGAAGCTCCGGGGCGGGTCGGCGCGTGCAAGAATTGCTGTTCAGGACTCCGAGGGCAAAGAGGTCCTGGACGAACGGGGACACCCTGTGCTCCGATATCGGGCTCTCAAGGATGAGGTCGTTCTTCGCCGCGTCGGAGTTGCCGCGTCGGGGATCGAGCTTCGTGCGAGACGGCTTCGGCAATGCCGACGCTGAATTGTGGATCCGTCCTCTCACCCTCAGGAACTTGCGTCTCTTTTCGGACCGCTGCCGCTCGACTCCGCCCCCACGATCCTGGATGATGGGTACCTCTCGGCTTCTGCGAACCCGTGCGCGGTCCGATTTGCTCGTGATGTGTGGGCCCTGGTGCGACGTGCTGAGTCTGATCCCCTGGAGCAGTGGCTGTTCTCGGGCCCGTCCGCTACTCCCCACATGAGGCTTCACATCAGGGCCCTCTTCATGGACCCCGACCTGCGCTCCCAGTATGTTGCCCTGGACTCATGCGTCCTTCGCGCAGCTGCCCGCGCGGTTGCAGTACCACCTCCTGCTGGTCTTTTCGGACCTACTCCTGAAGACCCTGAAGCTCCCGAGCCCCCCCCCCTCCTCCTGCGGCGTCCTGGCGGTGCGAGCTGAGGGGCCACGAGGGGCGCGCATGCGGAAGGGTCTTCGGCCCCCGAAAGGCGCTCTTGGCACACCAGAGGTTCTCGAAAGATGGAGGGCGCGCATGCAGGTCCGTGGCCCACTCCATTGTCGCGACGAACGAATGCATCATCTGTGGTTTGGGTTTCCGCACAAGGCGAATCGCACAGGAGCACGCAGTAACAGCTGTTCTCAAAGGCCGATGCCCTCCCCGCTCTACTCCGCTCCATCACGCCATCGAAGAGCCTGAGAGCCTGTTCTGCCCCATGAGTGAGATCCCAGTGCGCTATATCTTTGGTGGGCATCTGTCGGAGTTCTGCTGCAGCCGCTCGGGGCCGTTTCGGAGTCGAGCCGAGTTGAATCGCCACCTTCGTCGTGCTCACGCCCCTCGCCAGCCCTTGGTGTGTACTGCGCCAGATGTTCCGATTGTCAGAGGAGGCTGCACAGGCGGTGGGGTCAGGAGGGGACGGGCGACTGGGCCGCTATGGCTCAGTGCACGCTTCCCGCCAGCGTGGAGGCGGGCGCCGCCCAGGAGGCGGCCGCGGCCAGCAGCGTCGGCAGCCCCACCCCCGACCCGCCGCATCAGGCGGCAGTGGTCACGGCGACGCAGCGGGTCGTGCGGCGAGCCAGGCAGACGGCAGGAACGACGGGCTGGCCCCCGACGCGGTCGAGAACCCCCCGATGAGGTCGAGAAGCACGATGGCCAAGATAATGCCGATCCTGATGTGGGCAGTGCTCATGGCAGCCGAGTTCGTGACGATGACGATGCCAGAGGAGCTGGGCAAAGTGCAAGCGGCCTTCAATGCGGGAAAGACCTACTACGCCGAGCAGGCCGCGAAGCGTCGAGAAGATCACCGTCGGGATCCTTCGGAGGAGGTGACCGAGGTGAACAGGGGGCCCGCCTGCGTGCAGATCTGCCTGGGGGTAGTGCGCAAGATATCGAGAGCGGGCAAGTCTGTCAAGGCCTGGCAGCTGCACCAGCAGGAGATGGACGCCATTCAGAACAGCGACGACCTGATCGTGCTGGTGAAAGGATTTCGGATGTCGAGCGCACGCAGATGGCGATTCGCTCTGGACGACCCAGGCATGCAGCGGCGCCTCCACCCCCGCGTGGTCCAGCTCGGAGGCGAGCCGCTGCGCCCAGGGATAGCCCTGCGCAGCAAGGCGGAGCGGGTCCTCCAGTTTGCGCTGGACGAGGTGGACCCTTGAGGAGACGACAGCCACCGAGGGGAGACCAGCCACTCCAGGATGATGCGGGCATCGTGCAGGGGGCTGGGGCGATGTCAAGGGTGATTGCAAGTCAGGAGAAGGTATCCACAGTTGGGTGAGACGGGGAGCTTCAGCGAAAGTGGGTTGACAGTGCTCCCACTCGATATGTGCCTACCGCTAGCTCGATGGGAACGTTCGTGGTGCCGTGGTGGTCCAGGGAGTCGTCCTCTCGCCTTTCGCCGCCGCCTCCGCTCCGGAGCCCCTCATCCCCGACGTTGGTGCGATCGCGTTCTCGGAGCCGAACGCTTTTGGGAAGGACGCAGATGCAGACTACGTCGAGGCAGGTGCAAGCGAGAGTGCCGAGAGGTCAGCGGCGGGAGAGACTTTCACCACGAGGGGCGAGTGAGGGTGGTCGTGCAGTGACTGAGGCCAGCGCCTCTGCTGTCGCCGCTGCTGTCCATCCATCTCCGCCTCCCTCGATTCCTCCCCCGTCGAGCCCCCTCCCCTGCCTCCTCGCCCTCGCTCCCAGCCAGTGCAGAGCATCAGTTTTAAAGATCTGGTAGCGTATGTCAGTATTTGTTTAGGTTTCTCGGCCCCTGGTCCGCGCGCTTGACCTCGGTGGTCGAGCGAAGACGACTCGGGGCTCCCACCTCCCTGGGGGGAGGATACGTGATTCGCTTTTATAGCGCCCGACAGATCACAAGTTAGGCCGTGCTCAGCCGTCCGATGCCTGCCGTTCGTTCGAGTTGTGCTGGCGAACTTTGGTCCAAGGTCGATTCCGCCGCCGCCGTCAGCAAGTGGCAGAACGTCGAGCGCTGCGCGAGCTGCTTCCCGTAGGCCGCGCCCAGGTGCGCCGAGAGCGCGCGGCGGACGCGAAGCCTCTCCTCGCGCGCGTCCTCCTTGCTGAGCAGGTAAGACACTAGGCCGTACTCAAGAACCGCAGCGACGTTGTAGATCAGACTCACGAGAAGGAACGCGCTCAGCCAGGTCACCTCGGAGATACGCGGGAGCTGGCTCTGCACGTCCCTGATGTGATTCAGCATGGTTCGCACGGGCAGAAGGGACAGCGCAACTCGCGCGGGCGCGTTCGTCCGCGCGACGAAGAAGCCTGTCCAAGACATTGCCACAAACAGGATACCGTAGAGGACGTCGTTCATGATGTGGTACCCCGAGGAGCGTTCGAGGGTAACGTCTAGCTTCAGCGTGTGCCACTGCATGGCGTTCTCCCCGGTGCCGTACTGCTGCACATGGAACCTGTGGCCTGTTTCACTGACCTTCCACGCGGGGAGCCATACGCCTGCTTCTGGGAGCTCGATTCCGAGGCCATCTTTGGCGGAAAGCTCAACCATGGAAGCATCCTCTGTGTACGACAGAATATCGATCGCACACTTCTGTGTGTCAAAAGGCATGTCGGGGAAATCCATTACGCACTTGAAGCTATGCTTGAAGCGGGCCGACACGTACACTTAGCCAGTGTAGGACACCTGTAAGAAATTGGAGCCATAGGACTCCGACAGGGCAGTCGAAAAGTAGAGGTCAGGAACCCAGACGTCAGGTGACTCCAACGGAATGTTCCCAGAGCCCTGAAGGGGCAGATTCAGGGAGCCGAAGCAACCGCCATCCTCCACCGATGTGAGGTTCAATCGTTGGTCCTTCCAACTCATGCGCCAATAGCCCGACACTTCCTCCGCGTTGCCCTTTTCGTCGACAGAGTTGAGCGATTCCAGGTAAAACTGGGTAGCCACTTTGGTCGGAGGGCCATCGCTGTCAGGACGCGCCAGTCTCGAATAGGGTGCGGCAACAAGCTGTTGGATGACGTCTTCTGGGTTTGGTCCGCCAATGCAGTCAGCACGCGCTGGAGTCAAGCGCGCACCCAACACAACATTTGCAATCAGAGAGCGGGCGTGCACTGAAACTATCCGTTGGATGCGAGACATCTGTTCTATGCGAATGCACGGGGTCTGGTGTTGCTAATGCTCTGTGGTCTGCACCGAAGTGGTGCGATTCGGCACAGCTTGAGCCTTAAGCCAAAATGGCTACGGAGGCTGTCGTGGGGCCATCTTGGGCCGTCGAATGGGGCTCCTGGTCGGCGGCGAGCGAAGGGGGGGAGGAATGGAGGAGGAGAAGGCCTTCTCAGAAGGCGGCGGAGATTCTCAAAAGCCCTTGCGCCTTCTGAGATTTGTTCTGCGTCTTCGGGGAAGGCTTGGAGAACTTCTCGGAAGGCTGGAGGACTTCTTGTTCCTTCGCACTTCCCCCTCTCGCGTGCCGCCGACCTTCAGCCACGGGACAGGACCGAAAGGGCCATTCCCAGTCTCTCGCCTCACTCACCCAACCCATGATCGAGGGAGCTGCTGCTGAAATACTGGCAACGCAATGAAACGCAAAGAAAACGCGAAAGCCATGGTACACAACATATGACGGGGCATGCAGTGCCGCTGCGAGCCACTGCATCGCAACGCATTGCATTGCGAGGCGCTGCAATTCTTCGCAAATCAACGCCACCGACTACCGCCGAGGGCATCACAACGAACGGCACTGTGTCCCCAACAAGTGGACGCAACGCGACAGAACCGAAACGTAATGCGAGCCACTGCCCAGCACCGAAGTGCAGTGCAACTCACATCAATTCATCCCGATTACGCCCCAGAATACGGTCGAAACAATTACCACAGACGGCAATGCAAAGAAGAGCTGCTCCACGCACTCAACATCAGCATCTCTTCATCCAACGGGGAGGTATCTGAAGCAAGTAATGCATAGCGAATCACCCTATAACAAGACATCCCCCTTCTCGGTCGCATCCTCCTCGTGAACATCCTTCTCCCGATGTGTGCTACCATGTTTCAGCTGGTAAGAACGACCGCTTGAACTAAACCAACAAATTTGAAATCATCCACTGTGGCTTGGTCCGTTTCGCTGCGCGTCGGCTTCCCTGGGTGGGGAAATTGTTACCCCTACCCTTGTCCAGGGTTTTTCGTCGCCCACCGCGGAAATAACTGTTTCTGTTTTCTACGGCGGCTAAGCCGATCCATCGACATTCCGGCAGACATGAGGCAGTGCGAAACCGCTTCGCCCAAGAGCAAATGCACTGTTGCATGCGCTGCAACCAACTGGTAGACAAAATGGGGCCACATGACTCTTCAGCCTGGATGCCAGACGGCTGCCGCACAATCAACGAGCGAACAACACGCGCGCAGAAGCCAATCCAACGGGGGACGATCAGCCCGCGCGGCAACCTTCCACTGGAAAGACACAGGGGTGGAGACCTTTCAGACTCTCCGAACTCACCCCCCCCCAGCGGATCGGTCCCAAAAGGGTTTGGGGGATCACACCCCCGGCTCCCAGGGGGCTGCGAAGGCCCGTGCGTCGGGACACGTCGGGCCCCTGCGCGCCCCCAGGACCCCTCCAGCGAGGCAGAGCAGGGGAAACACATTCCGTGCACAATGATCCCCGAACTCGCTCCACATCGCCCGCCATTCCCGTAGTCGCTTAACGCCGCAGAATGACGAGGCCCAGCCCCAAGAGATCAGACGATGAGTTCGGCGATTTGCCCCCTCCCCCCAATGAGGTGCGCGAACGTTGGGGCCAAGGGCGCATGCGCGCCTCGAAAAAAAGCAGCGCGTAACCCGCCGGCTTCTCCCCCAGACAAAGTGTCGGGACACTTCTTTCGCTGAGGATTCCCGCTGCGAGCCGTCCATCGCATTGCAATTGCAACGAACTGACATGCAATTGCCTTTGCGATCGCATTGTAATTAAACTGCAATTGCAATGCGAAGCGATACGAACCGATACGATTGGATACATCAAATGCCGTGCAAGGCAAGCGCATAACAATATAGTTCGAACAAAAACATAATGCAACACGACGACTGCCATCGCATCATAACCACATGCAACGCAATACGGAGCAATGTACCGTCATACAGCGCATTGCAAGAAGGTGCGGGGTCAACACACATGTAATGCACACCAATGGACGCACTGCGATACAAAGGCAAACAAATGCAACGGCACGCAGGCAACGAATAAGGGCTCAACGCGATCGAACCACTGCAACGCAACGCGTTGGAGTGAAACGCATCGCACCTCACTCAGATACACGTATGCACATGTACACATACACATACGCGCACGCCCTCTTCACCACATACCCCTCCCTCTCGTGTGCCCTCGATGCCATCCTCCCTCCCATCGTCTGCCCCATGGCCTGGAATTGGCGATACATCGCTGACAGAGCGCCGCCGGGACCCCGAAGCGGAATCCCCACCATCCTGGGCACGTCTCGGGGCACCCTGGCCCCGATCGGAGAGGGATGGGCGATCGGAGGTCGATGCTGCGCGGAGGCCCGGCGCCCGGGTGTTGCCAAGGAGGAGGAGGGGGAGGAGGAGGAGGAGGGGGAGGGGGAGGAGGAGGAGGAGGAGGAGGAGGAGAAGGATGAGGAGGAGGAGGAGGAGGAGCGGCCTCGAGGGCCGGGCGGCCGGGCCCCTGGGCAGCGCGCCCACGAATGCAGGGCGGTTCTTCGCGGAGGCCCCGCGCGGAACGCATCCTCCTCCTCGTTCTCCTCCTCCTCCTCCTCCTCCTCCTCCTCCTCTAAATCCATCTCCGTCTCCTCCTCCTCCTCCTCCTTCTCTCCTCCTCCTCCTCCTCCTCTTCCTCCTCCTCCCCTCTCTCCTTCCCCCTCCGCCTCCTGGTCCTCCTCCTCCTCCTCCTCCTCCTCGTTCTCCTCCTCCTCCTCCTCCTCCTCCTCCTCCTCCGTGCGACCGCGCATCCGCGGGATCCTCGGGATCCAGACCGCGAGGGCGCGGACACGGATCTCGGGTGGCGGCATCCGAACCCTGCCCCCACCAACCATCGGTTCTCCTGAGTCGACTGGAGGCGGGGGTAGGGCTCGGACTTCGCCGCGTGCTCGACGAACTCCGAACCCGTCCCCGCCGCCCATCGAGTCGCCCGAATCGGACACGTTCGCCGCTCGCGGACCCATCTTGCTGACCCCCTTTACCAACCTCGGACCTATCCCTCTATACCCAAGACCGGCAAGCCAAAGGCGACGACCATCCTGGGATTCGCCCTCAGAAGCTGAGGGAATCCTTAAGATCGGCATCGAGATAAGGTGATGCCCATCATAGTAGGGGGACAGCAAGCAACCACAACCACATCGAGAACACACCCAGGGGAGATGTCTTGCGCATGCCAGCCATTGCCGGAACACCAAAACCATCTTCGTACTGGTTGTGGTCGATGTGGCGTCCCAGGACAGCCGAATCGACCACAGCCACAACCAAAGTGCCCATGTCGAGGTCGGTGGGCTTTCCCCCGATGGTCTCTCCCCCCCAAAAAAACAACTTAGTTGTGGTTGTGTTTTTCAGTTGTGTTTTTCAGTTGTACCCCGACATGGGGATGGGGATCTGTCGCTGCGCCGCTTGCTCTCGACGCGCCCAAGTGGACGACGCCGACACCACGGCAAACCCACGGCAAGCCCTGCGTCCCGCGCCCAAGGAGACGCAGCCCGCGCCGCGGCGCGCCCACGACGAGCCCACCGCGCCCGAGGCGGCGTCTGCCCTGGTGGCCGCACCGCCCTCTCAGAGAGGGAAGGCCGCGCGTCGGAACAAACGGCGCGCCGACCCTTAGGGTTAATTCGGGCATGTCCCCCTACCAGCGGATTTTGGACGAAAAATCCGCTGGCCCCCTTGTGGGGCTACCAGGCTGTAGGCCGAAGGTTTGCTGTTCCCTGCACCAGTTCCAGTTTCCAGTTTCCACTGTTACAGTTCTGCTGCTTACTGCTTACTGTTCCTTGTTGATGGACCGCGCGAGGGAGGGGGGGAGCCGAGAAGGAAGCTAGTTTCCACGCCCGAATCGCGTTGTCTGAATTCCTGGGGGGGGGGGCGTGGGACACATATATATATATATATATATATATATATATATATATATATGAAATTCGCGCCCCCGAGGCCAGAAACCTTCGTAAATTATGCAATGTTCGCGTCCCCGAGGGCATACACCTTCGTAATTTACATCGTACTTGCGTCCCCGAACCCATCAACCCTTACACATTACGCCAGATTCGTGTCCCCGAAGCCATGGGCCCTTCTACCAATTTCGCAATAGTTGCGTCCCCGAGGCCACAAACGCTCGCAAATCATGCGATATTCGCGTCCCCGAAGCCATAAACCCTGGTCAATTACTCAATGTTCGCGTCTCCGAAATCATAAGCCTGAGTAAATGACGCAATCAACGCGTGTCCGAAGCCACACACCCTTGTAAATTCCTCGTATTCCCGTGCCCGAAATCATAATCCCTCGTAGTTTACGTTGTATATGCGGGCCCGAAGCCATACTCCCTCGTACAGTAGCGCGATTCGCGTATCCGAAGCCATAACCCTTCGAAATACAACACCGAATTCAACAATATCATCAGAATCTCAATTTGTCTTGCCGATTACTCATCGTCTTCGCGTGAAGTCCCGACGCTGCTTCACGGCGGCGCCAAGGCCTGATGATTTCGCTCTTGCATTGCCCATTATCCGAGAGCGGGAGCCGGCGGCAGGGGGCGAAGCCCTCACGGATAGAATAGTATACAAATGCTCAAACAAATACCCCAAAATATTTTTAAAAATCGTCCCCAGACTATTCTGTTGTGGAATATTTTCGACGATTCCTCCTGTAGAGGGACACGCCCGACCTAAACTTAGGGACGGGGACGTGCTCCAGGCTGGCAGCCCCTGCGGCCCCGAGGCTCCGGGCCCCAGCCCCTCCCGAAGCACGGCCGCTTGCCGGGGACCAGCAGCTCCTCGGCAGACCTCCCCTCCCTCTCCGCGGCCGGTGCGCGCTCGGCGCTCGGGGGGGGGGGGGGGGGCGAGGGAGAGATGTGCGCACTCGTGGCGGCGCGCAGAGGGGGGCGGCAGGAGGAGGGGGGAAGGCTTCCTTTGAGTAGGGACCGACCGACCCGGCATCCCCATAGGCCTACCAAGACATGTTCTTAGAAACCAAAAATGCTCTAATAACAACAACAACAACAACAACAACAACAACAACAACAACAACAACAACAACAACAACAACAACAACAACAACAACAACAACAACAACAACAACAACAACAACAACAACAATCACAACAACAACAACAACAACAACAATGTTCTTAGAACATAAGCCCGATGTGTTAAAACAAAACATTCCCAGCCAGAAATATTCTAAGAACATTTCGTGGAATCCACAAACGGTTCTTAGGACATTGTTTGGTAGGCCTATAGGTACGCCAGGACGCTTCGCCGCTGTTTGAAGTCTTAGAAGCACCCCTGCTTCTTAGAAGGCCCCGGCACTGCATTTCCAGACAAGGCCCTCTAAGAGGCCTTCCCCCCTCCCCCTACGCCCCTCTCTGCGTGTGGCCGGCATTCGACCGTGGGCCCCATTGTTGCCCGTCGGCCCAATGGCGCGAAGACTGAGCGGCTGTGTCTGACCAGGGACGCATGATCAAACACCTGAGGAATGAGGGGGCGGGGGGGGGCCGAAAGGCGGGGGCAGGAAGGGGAGGGGGAGGAGGGGAAGGAGGAGGAGGGGGAGGAGGGTGAAGAGGAGGAGGAGGGGGAGGAGGAGGAGGAGGAGGAGGAGGAGGAGGAGGAGGAGGGGGATAAAAAGAGGCGGGGGCAAGGGGGGGAGCTGGAGGTCCAGGCTAAGGTCACGGCACATAGGACATGAGCCCAAGCGGCAACAACGAATGCCACATGCGAATGGTGCGGAAGCAGGCGGCGGAAGGGGAGGTCAAGAAGCCGGGACCTGGGGATCTTCCCTACGAGTCGCGAGCCCCATTCGTCTCTGAAGGGAGCCCAAAGCGGACACCCTCCCCCAGCTCCTCGTGTCCCCCTTCACCAACCTCGGCGCGGGCGATCAAATTCGGTCTGGCATGTCAGTAGGTCTAACTCTGTAGCCCTCAGCAGGGGTGGGCCGCTGAAAGCTCTATGGTTGGTGGTCCGAACATGGAGGCTCTCAGGCTTTAATTATCAGGATCCAGCAGCGCGGGCGCGCGACGGGTGACGCGGCCATCCTGACAAGGTCATGAAGGGAGCCGACGAGCCGTGGCCTGTACGGCAGTGGGGCTACCACCACGAGAGCCAGATACGGTGAGGGGACCATTGAAGAAGGAATCCATCTGGAAGCCAATGAAATTCCGTTCGCGGATGGGCCATCATGTATATCACCGCCACCCTTATCAGCAAAAAATCCGCCAGGGTCTGAAGCCTCACGGGCACATTCCTTTACCAGGGCCCAAACCGTACGGAACGAAACCCATTTTTGAACCCAACGGACTTAGGAATAGCGGCGTCCGAAGAAGAGGAGCAGCAGCCTGGCGACAAGATGGTCTATAGCAGTCCGCTCGAGGCGGAGTGGCCGCAACACTTGCCGGAGTTCCGCCTGGGTCCGCTGCATGGGAACGCGCCACGGCGTTCGTCTTGTGCTCCGCGAGCCCATCGTCGTTCGCCCCTTGTGCGCAGCAGCCCTCCGACGCGCGGGCGGCCTCGCAGCGGGGTGACCACCTGGGGAGACTGCGGCATGCACGTAGCCCTCCAAAGGGCTACTAGACGATGTCTGGTGCGGCGGGTAAGCGCAAGCTGCCGAGATAAGATCTCGGCGAAGGACCTGCCCGTGCACGCGTGAAGGGTCGTCCGCAGGGATAGAGTAGTAAGTAGTCCCACGTCGGCAAAGTTCATGCGCTTGACTGTCCGAAGGTGGATCAATCCCCATGGTCGTCGAATGTGCTATGGCAGGGGCGGGAGAGAATTGAGAGACAACGGTATTCGAGAACCCGTTATCGAATGTTGCAGCAGAAAAGGCGCGTAGATGGTGCGTGGTGGCATCCGAAGAGGTGGGCAGGACATAAAATTGGCGGGTGAGAAGGATGCCCTCGACCGTACTCCCCTTGACCCTGCTCTTTCCCACCCCCGCAGAGATCCGAACCGCAAATGCAGTCTTCTTCCTTCTGTCCTGAAGGCCGACGGGTCAACCTGCGAATTACACTGTGTGGCAACGTGGTCTCATTCTCCCTTGTATGCAACCACATACAAGCCACACCCCAGTATGTCGGATTTCTGGAACACCGATGCGCCCTCGAAACTCGAAGGATGCCCGCAGCCAAGTGATCACATTCAGGGGTGTCCGATACCCCAGACTCGAGTGGACCAGCAGGGGCAGGGTTCGCAAGTGGTCACTTGACTTGGTCTCGGGACAGATCTTCAAGAACATGTACACGAGACTCTATAGATATGTCTCCTGACGCAGGGCGAAGCTCTGTCAGCGGGAGTAAGCCAGGGGAGCGGCGAGCGAACCTGGCACAACTTCTTCGACGGCCACATGTTGCTGCGAGATCCTGCCGCAGAGACCCCTATCGCCACATCTCACTGCGAGATCTGGCCCCAGAGACTCCATCAACCCAGGCTGAATTTGAAAACGCCACTGGGTTCTATCGTTGTCCCCCCTCCTCCCTGGAGTCCTGGCAACCTGAGCGCGCACCAAATGAACAAACGAACTACGTGGCGGAGTCATTGGCGATCCCAATGCCCAAACCCAACGTCAAAGGTAGGAGCTGATGAATCTGAAACTTCGCCGCCCAATTGCATCCGTGCGGACATGCAAACGCCTGGCGTCCTGCCACATCATCGTGTGCCGACCACTCCCGCCTGCGCTTTATGGCTGCTTCATAGGCGACGGGGTTCGCCGCCATGGACAGGTCGCCGGCTGTCCCTCACGCTGCAGGGCAAGGAGGAAGACAACAATAACGGTCGTGGCAAATCCACCAATGGCTGTTTGCCCACGGTAGGCATGTGCAACATGCCCTAATGCGCAGAGCTCAGAAGATCACACCCCGCTCCTGAAACTAATACTCAGCTTTGAATCCAGCAGTGATTGCAACACTGTGCGCTAACAGAAGCAATGGTAGCCATAGAAGGAAGAGGGAACACGAGCATAATTGATGATAATGTTCATCGCAATGCTACAGCTGGTGGGGACTCTTGATTAAACACTGATAGTGAGCTGTAACATCGCGACTCGTAATAATAACAATCACCTCCGCAATCACAGCAAAACCGGCCATAAAAGGTGAAACCGACGATACATAATCAGGCCGGCATACCCTAAACACCAACGCTGCATTATACGACACATGGCCCGCACGTCGCGACGCGGCAACTATATTAGAAAAAGAACAAAAAAGACGCCATGAACATAAACTGTTGGCGCTCCGCGCGGATTTCTTGGATCTGCGCCGGACCCCCCTCCCTAGCGCGCGGAGCGCGCCAGGGGCGCCAGAGGCGCCGCAGGGGGGCCCGGCGCGGATCCAAGAAATCCACGCAGAGCGCCAACAGTTTATGATTATGTCGTTTCTCGTTCTTCGAGTTAAATCGCACTGTAAAGACCCATCGCTTTTCGGCGTGGGAACGTCACGCTTTCCATCGGAAAACCATCGAAACCCAAGAAACCCAGGGCACCCTGGAGGCAAGCAGGGTGTTTCTTGGCATGGGCCACCACTGTATGTCGCACTCTGAAGACCACGCATGCTACGCCAGGGCGCAACAGCTTCCTCGCACCCTCTCGGAACCAAAGCACGGCACGACGCGACACGGCAACGGCTTCTCGCCTTCTGCAAAAACAAAAAAACGAGCCACGCACGGCACGTCACGCGGCTACGATGTGACACGGCAGCTCTTAGGTCGGGCATGTCCTCCTACAGGCGGCTTCTGCAGGACAAACAGAGAATAGCCAAAACCTGTTCCAAACCTGCCACGGTAGACGAACAATCGTCCCCACACTATTCTCTGACTCTTCTCATAGCAGGGTTCCTGCTACATGGTTAGCTAAGTGTGCTCTCCATGATCTAAGAGAGCTATGTACTTAGTATGGTTAGCTAAGTGGTTAGCAAGCTTTGTTGCCACCTAGCATGGTTATAACCATAGTTATATCTATGGTATATCTACATACGATCTGTGCTAACCGAGAGCTAAGCAGGGCGACGATCGCAGTACTCCTCCTGTAGAGGGACATGCCCGAGTGAAGGCAACTTCTCCCACTCCCGAACACCAGCACGGCACGGCCCGCGGGCACGGCACCGCACGGCACGGCAACCACGGCGCGGCACCGGCACGCGGGCGCCACCCCTCCCGCACTTCAGATTTCGAAGCAGAGCAATTTCGGGGAGACGGAGAAGAAGGAGGAGGAGGAAGGAGGAGGGAGGAGGGAGGAGGACGAGAGGAAGGAGGAGGAGGAGGCATACGAGCACGGCTCAGCACGCGGGCGACACTTCCATCGCATTCCAGACGCCGGGCAAATCACAGCACGGCACGTGGGCGCAGCACGGCACGCCGGCGAGCGACGACTCTACATGTCGGAAAGTAGGCGCGGCACAGCACGCACAGGAGCACGGTACGGCGGCCAAGCGCCACCCTTTGCACTGCCGGAGACTGCACGGCACGCGGACACGGCACGGCACGGCGGCAACTTTGTGAGTAAAAGACTAAGACTTGGCACGACACGGCGCACGAGCACGGCACGAAGGCACAGCTTGTCCGCATCCTGGAGCAGAAGCACGGCACGGCACGGCATTGCACACGGGCACGGCACGGCACGGCATGCGGGCGGCAACATCGTCGCGCACGGCACGGCAAGCGGACACAGCACGGCAAGCCGGGCACGGCACGCTCGCGCAGCACGGCAGGGCAACATGTTCGTAGTCCAGAACCTAAGCACGGCACGGCAACACCAGCACGTGGCACAGCGCATGCAACCACCGTGGCTGTGCAGGCCAGCCAGGAAGAAGCGTTCCAAAGTGCGCTGGGCCGCCGTGATCTTCCGGCTGCCTGGCTGCGCAGCAGCTGCAAGCTGCCATGCAGGAGTGGCTGGCAGTACAGCGCTGGCTGCCGGCCGCGCTGGAGCGCTCGCACGCGGCGGCAGCTCGGAAGACTGACCGTCCCCCCCCCTCCGGCGGCGGTAGCGGGGCGGCAGATGTCGCCGCCGATGCAGCGCTGCTCCGGCGCCGGCGGCTGCGCGGAGTGCAGCACGCCTGCCAACGTCATTAGGGCACAGCCCACGTTGGCCGCCCTGCTCGCCGCCGACGCTGCAGATGCGACCTGGTTGCAGGAACTCGCGGTGATCTCGGCGGCGGAGGGCCACCCGCAGGGCTTGTTGGAGCGCGCGGAGGGGGCATGGCGGGAGGCCAGCGCTGCTGCCAGGGCGCCACGCCGTGACGGCTGGCGGCAGTGTGTCCACGATTGTCTGACGAATCGACAGGGGCGGCTCTACAGGTGGATCCGTGACCGATCCGGCGCTCGTGCCCGACCCGTCCGTCGCCGCTGGCGGCGCGAGTGCGACGGTTGGCAGCAAGCCCCGCGGTGGCTCGCGCTCCGCGGCGGCCCCGCGGCGGCGCTCCGCTTCTTCGGAGGCCCGTGGCGCGAGCTGTGGCAGCGGCAGCCGCGAGTGGCGCTCGGGGAGGAAAGGCTGCAGGAGTTGGACGGCCTCCCGTCTCGCCCGGAGCGGGCGCCCTGGACCGCCGACCTCGTGGCAGTCATCTTGCGGCGCATGCCGACGAGGAAGAAGCCTGGGCTCGACGCATGGACAGCGAGCAGGCTCCGCCTCCTCCCTGCGGAACTGCACGGTCGGATCGCGGACCTCTTGGAGGAGGTAGAGGCCACCGGCGCTCGGCCCCACGAGTGAGCCAGGGGGCCTCCTGCTGCCCAAGCCCGACGGCGGAGCTGGGCTGGGCCCGCCAGCGGGCTGTTGGGCACGCGCGCGCTCGTTCGCGCAGTGGCGGCTGAGCTGGGGCGGCGCTGCCGCGCGGCGCGGCTCGGAGGCCTGGGAGCTGGCCTTGGAGCTCGAGGCAGCGGAGGCCCTGGCCGAGAGCATCGACGGCGCCGCCCTGGACTGGATTGGAGCAAGACTTACGACCGCGTCGATCTCCATTCCTTGCCGTCCGTCCTGGGACGACCGGGAGTGCCGGGGTGGGTGGTTGCGCCAACTATGACGGCGTGCACAGCGCAGCGGCGGGCCCGGGTCGGTAGGGCCATCGGCGATCCTTGGGCGCCGTTCAGCGGGATGCTGCCCAGGTGCCACTTGGCTGTTTTCTTCCTCAGCGTGCTCGCTTGGCCCTGGCAGCGGCGCGCCGGCGCTCTCGACGTCGAAGGCTTCACTCTCTGGGCTCGCGGGCCAGGCCACGAGGCGGCCGAGGTCGGTGATGCTGTGCGCGATGCGCTTCGGCTGGCGTCGCTGTTTGAGGTGGTCATGGGCTGGAGCCTTAACAGGGACAAGAGCTGGCAGTTCGCGAATTCAGACAGTCTCCGCAATTGGCTCCGCACGCAGACCCCAGGGGTCGCGGCCGGCTGCGACATTCGCGACCTTGGCGTGGTGTCCACTGCGGGGCGGGCAGGTCGCTGCGCGGTCACAGGCGCGCAAACTCGGGCAGTGGCGGGGCGCTTCACCCGCATTGTTCATTTGTCGGTGGGTTCCGGCAGAGATGCCTCCTCGGCGCGGCGGCGGGCACGTCCGCGGGCACATGCGGCGCCTCAGGGGCCCTTCGCTGCCACCTGGCGCAGCATGGCAGACCTGTGCCTTGGAGACGACACCACGCTCTGGCAGGGCGTCCCTTGGGCCCGGGGCGGCTAGCGGCCGCAGCACCGCCCGCGGCAGGACACAGCGGCGCTGCTGGACGCGCGGTCGCGGCACGAGGCTCCCGCGTTGGCTGGGCGGCGCGCCGACCTCGGGCATGTCGGCGGCGGCATCGACCGCTGGGCCACCCGCCGCTTGCTCGAGAGCGAAGACCAGGCGCCGGACGCGGCGCGCTGCCCGCACTGCGCCGCCGCGGCGCCGACGGTGTGCTGCGGCGCCGCAATGAGCCCGTGGGCGGGTGCCAGACCGCGCAATGGGCCGAACTCACTCACCCCTGGAGCTGGTCTCTGATTCGTGCTACGTGTGCCACGGGGTCGCGGCCTTGCGCGCCGGCGCCTCTCGCGCCCTGTCGACGCACGCGGACTTTTGGGAGCTGCTGAGGCCGCGCGCGGCTTCATCGAGGCGCGCCGGGTCAGGGGGCACCTCGACGCAGCCGCGGCGGGGGGGGACAGGAAGACGCCGGCAACGAGACCGCCGACCGACTGGCGGGCGCCGCCGCGCGCGCCTGTTTGCCAGAGCGCGGGCTGTTCATAGGGCGGCAAGTGCAGCTGCACGCGCTACTCTCCCTGCAGCGGCTGCTCGCCACCGCGGAGCTGGCTGCGCTGCGCGCCAACCACGGAGGTACCGGGCTTGCTGGACACAGGCTGGACGGGCGGCCCACGGCTAGCGCGGGCTTCGCCGCCTAAAAGGCAGCGGGCGCAGCAGCAGCAGCAGCAGCAGCAGCAGCAGCAGTAGCCAGCGCCAGCGGCGGACCCGCAACCGCGGCAGCAGCGGCGTGCCCGGCGACCGTGGGCGGTCGTGCAGGGAGCGCCTTCGCGGTGCCGCCGAGGCTGCCCGCGCCCTCTTCGGGGGCGGCGCGTGGGCGCCGCACGCGGCGTCGCAGGGCCCCGGAGGGGTCGCTTGCCTCTGCTGCGGCAGCGCAGCCCAGCACTGGCAGGCGCTGGCGGCTCGGCCCTGCCTGGGGTGGGGCAGCGCGCTGCTGCCTCGGGCGGCGGCGCTCCTTCAAAGGTGCCCGCGGTGCGGGCGGGGAGCGGCGCGGCGGGCTGATGCGCGGCGCTGCGCAGGCGGCCGGAGGCGCGGCCGGGGCCGCCGGACCAGGCCAACGTGGCACCGCCCAGGGCCTGGACTGCCAGCGATATCACCCTCCCCCCTTGCCCCCCCCCCTCCTCTCCCTCCTCCTCCTCCTCCTCCTCCTTCCTCCCCCCCGCCTCCTCCCCCCCTCCCCCCGCCCGCCCTCCTCCCCCCTCCTCCTCTCCTCCCTGCGTTTCGCCGCAGGTTTTGCTCGCGCTTGTAAAACAAGTATGGCACGGCACTCGGGCACGGCACTGCCCGCAAGCAAATGCCAGATGCGGGGCGCGGCGCGGCACGGCTGAGCGCGCCACGCTGGCGGTAACTGACTCGCCGTCTGGACTACAGAATCGCACTCGTCAACACACGAGTCCCCTTACAGTTACAGCATGCGCTCCTTGGGGGGATCGTAGCAGACAGTGTGCACCAATAGTATACCACGGAGACGGCGATGATCTGGTATAAGCAACGAATAGAAGTCAGTGTATGCTCCGCGGGTGGCAAGTAACACATATCGTGGCAACGACTGCGTGCACGTATGACACACAGGGTCTGTATGTGTTTTTCCCCAGCACGCATCATGAGGACTGTTCAATGTGTGCGCTTCCTCAGGGCTGAGGGTAGAGGCTGCGACGCGCACGTTCTGACAAGCATCGGTGACGTGAATGCGGAGAAAGCACGGCCACGTGGCGCAACCCAATCAAAGCTACGGGAAACGCTGCTCGCTGTAAAGAGGTTCAGGGTTGGGCCACGGCAGATAAACGAACGAAGGGAAACGCTGCCGACACCTCCACCTAAAACTGTAACACTGTGGGGCCAATAGATCCGGATACGTGTCGCATCGCGGAAGACTCTCTGTGGGCTCGGGGCGACCACGCAACATCACGAGCTCCAAAACGGCAAGCTGTCGTTCCTGGCGCTCGGGAGGGAAGCAGCTCGGCACGGGGGCGTCCAAGTCTGCCTCCCAGCGCCGCCAGGCCTGCCAGCTCCTGGCACCAGTCCTTCCAAATCCTGGGAAGGTGTGCGGGGGAGGTGCACGTGGTGCTTCCAAGATGCTGCTGGGTGGATTCATGCACATGACGAGCGCACTCCATACTGTACGCAATGGCATGCGATGACCAGAGATACCTGAGCTTTCCCCAAGGGGGCAATCTTTCGCTCTATTCGGGTTCCATGCTTGGCAAGGCAACTCCCTAACACGGAGTACGTCCACCGCACGCGCTCGCTGTGCGGACAGAGGCAAACCAAATCCTTACCGAGGAGCGCGAGCTCCTTGCGAAAGGGGGCCTGCGAACCCATGCCAGCTGCAGTGCTGCACAATCATAGGAGTGCCCGCGCGGTCGAAGCCAAGACGCCGACGGAATGCAACATACAAAATGCAACTTAGAACAACCAGTATTGCTTCCACTCGCAGAATAAGCTGTTTATAATCAAGACGAACTACGAGGTCCGCACGGATTCCTTGGATCGTCGCTGGACCCCCTCCCTGGCGCTCGGAGCGCGCTAGGGGCGGCACCGCCATGGGGCTCCAACGCCGATCCAAGAGATCCGTGCGGACCTCTGTGTCTGTTCCCCGGTCTAACCGGCGAGCCCCGAATTGTTGGTGTCCTCCTCTTGCTGCTCCTGCCGACGATCCTCCTTCATCGTCCCTCCAGACCCCTCTCCCCCAACCTCTTTGCTGCCATTTGTCTAATCCTCGTCCAGGTCCTCGTTATCATCGTTGTCCTCCTCCTCCTCCTCCACCTCCTCCTCCTCCTCCTCCTCCTCTTCCTCTTCCTCCTCCTATTCCTCGTCCTTCTCCTCCCTCCCCCCGCGTTCCTCATCCTCCCCCCTTCACCGCAGGTCTCCAGCTGTTCCTGCATGGTGATTCTGGGGGGCACTGGCGACTCCCAAAGGCCCCGAAGAACACCAAGGACGAACAAACGCAGGCTGCGAACCTCGATCCTCCTCTGGGGAAGCCCAGAGGTACCGATACCGCCACTCCCTGGACCTGCTCAGGGGTGCGTTCTGACCAGAATCTCGAGGCGAATCCAGCGGTGGCGAAGAGGGCCCCCCAGGAGGTCCGAAACGGGGAAGACGACGGAGTGGTAAGGGCATGTGGAAAAAAGAAACATCACAAACATAAAGTTGGCGCTCCGCGCTGATTTATTGGACCTGCGCTGGATCCCCGCCCTGGCGCGCGGAGCGTGCCGGGGGCGCCGCCTGGGGGGCCCCAGCGCAGATCCAAGAAATCCGCTCGGAGCGCCAAAAGTTTATGATTATGGCGTTCCTTCGTCTTCGACTCTTCCTCCTCTGATCCTCCTCATCCCATTCCTCCTCTCCCCCCTGCTCTTCCTGCGCAGCACCTCTCTGTGCACTTGTTTGTCGGGTGCAGGCGCCCTCCCCCAGCGCACAGCGCCAGCCCCCCAGAGCCACCAGCTGCCAAGGACCGCACACCCACCCCAGACCTGTGGAGGTGGGACAAATGGTGTGGTATGATGGGTAAGGTGACAATTCTGTAAGTTGCGATGTGATCTACGATGTCCATAAGTGCGTGACATCCTGGTGTCAGGAACGTTGGTTCTGCGGCGGCCGCTTCCACAAAAAAACATTCCATATCACTCCAACTCCCCAAACGACCATCATCCGATGTGAACGGCGACAAACATACCCATTGCATGGCGCCCTATCGCCAAGAAGCTATTCTCGAGAGTTCGGAATTCATTTTGTGTTTATGGAATGTCCAGAACGTCGTTTCGGAATTTCCGGAATTATATTTTGTAAGCAAATAGACCTGCTTCTGAACGATGAAACTTCTGAAACTTCGTTTTTAGCAAAACGGAAGTTCTGAAATTACGATTTTCGAGACTCGGAATTTCCGAAATTGCGTGCTTCGTGATCGGGCGTTTTGGAGCAGGTGAGCGAGGATGTTGGAACCATGAAATTTGACGTTGCTTGAGGCGGCCGGCGCAAAGCCAACGCTGTTGAAATCAGGATGCAACGCACTTGCGGCTATCGTATATGACATCGCCTGTCTCTCAGCATCGGCACCTCACCCCTCTTATACCAAGCAACGCTGTTGAAATCGGGATGCAGTGCACTTGCGGCGATCGTATATAACATCCCCTTGGGAAGTGCCAGCGGGGGGGGGGCGAGGGGGGGGGTCGTTTTCTGCGACCGTTCGCGACTAGCTCACGCACGCGTAAATAAACACAACTCCCTGGATTCCCCCCACATGTTCAATGAGATTTTCTGGACGTCCGCCTTCTCCTCCACGTTTTCGGGGTATCGACGATTGTGTGTGTGTGTGTTTGTGTGTTTCCCCTTCTGAAACAAGCCCGTGGCAGAAAAAAATGATGAAAGGAGATTTTCCGATAACACGGCGGGCGCTTAAAGGAGAGGCGACGGCGGCGACGAGGAACCAGGAGACAGGGTGACTCTTGCCACAATGACGCTTGCAAGAGGGGTACGCCCCTGTTAGGATATCATGAGAGATTTGGTAACATCTTTATTACGGAGCCCGCAGTTGCGCTCCGCTATGTGAAAACGCGAACGGTCAACGGGAAAGATCCAGCAAGTCGAGCACGAGACAAACTTGCCACCCCGAGCCCGAACTCATCGGTGGGGTGGTCACTGCGGGCATGCCGAGGGATTACACGGAGCTGCACAAACGGACTTCTAAGATTTACCTCTGTCCACACACCTGGCACTCGCATAGCGTGCAAGAAGCAACGGCGGCCTGGCCGTAGAGTACTCTCTCCCCCAGCCCGCATCCGATCCAGTCACGACCCAACCCCGATCCCTCCTCCTCCTCATCCTCATCCTACTCCTTCTATTCTGCTTCCTCCGCCTCCGCCGTCCGCTTGGCCGACCATCCGGCCGTCCGCCGCCCGCTCGTTCTTCAATTACACCGGACTCACTTCTATAGCGCTCACTTCTATAGTGCTCACTTTGAAATTGTGGTCCGGAAGGGGCCGCACATGCAGGCACATGCCGCACAGTCGCACGCACATGCCCATGCAAATATACAAAAGCCTCAACAGCATTGCCGCACATGCGCGCACATGCCACACCGTCCGACGCACAGCCGAATGCACGGTCAAGCAAAACTCTGAAAGCATAGACGCACATGCCCGCACATGCCGCAGAGATGTCGCAGGCGATAGTTAGGGGGAAAACAAACCTACCTCGCTTTTGACCACCCTCGCTTCCAAGAAATACCAAACGATGCCAAACTACGGCCTGCGCTGGTCAGGCCGCTTGACGAGGAGGCGCGTGGTATGACTTGGTTTTGCCTGGAAGCGAAAGCGGGGGAGGTAATTCACGCTCTGAATAGTGGCCTGACCACCTGAGCTCGGGGCATTTCGCAACCCAGAATTGCGAGGATGTCTCAGGCAAGCGTGGCCGGACCACCAGGGGGCAGGGCATCTTGGAAACCAGAGTGGCGAGGATGTCGCTGGTCAAGGTGACCAGACGATCATGGGGCAGGACACCTCCGAGGTCTGAGTTGTGATGATGTCTCAGGCGAAAGTGGCATGACCACCATGGGGCAAGAGATCTCTGAGGTCAGAGTTGCGAGGATGTCTCTGGCGAGAGTGGTCTGACCACCTCAGCCCAGGGCGTCTCGGAACCCAGAATTGCGAGGATGTCTCAGGCAGAAGTGGCCTGACCACCTGCTCAGGGCATCTCGGAACCCAGAGTTGCGAGGGTCTCAGGCGAAAAAGGCCGAGACACTATGGAGCAGGGCAGCATTGAGGTCAGAGTTGCGAGGATGTCTCAGGCGAAAGTGGCCTGAACACCTCAACTCAGGGCATCTCGGGCGAGGATGTTTAAAGCGAAAATGGTCTAACCACCTCAGCTCAGGGCGTCTCGGAACCCAGAGTTCCGAGGATGTCTCAGGCGAAAGGGTCCGAGACACTAATTATCGAGCAGGGTATCATTGAGATCAGGGTTGCGAGGATGTCTCAGGCGACAGTGGCTGACCACCTCAGCTCGGGGCATATCGGAATCGAGACTTGCGAGGATGTCTCAGGCGACAGTGGCCTGACCAGCATGGGGCAAGAGATCTCTGAGGTCAGAGTTGCGAGGATGTCTCAAGCGAAAGTGGTCTAACCACCTCAGCTCAGGGTGTCTCGAAACCCAGAGTTCCGAGGATGTCTCAAGCGAAAGTGGCCGGGCCACCATGGGGCAGGGCATCTCCGAGACCAGAGTTGCGAGGATGTCTCAGGCGAAGGTGGCCAGATCACCTCATGTCAAAGCATGTCGGCCTCCAGATTGCCGACGACGTCTCACGCGGAACCGGCCGGACGCGAACGCGCCGGCGCCCGGAGACGAACGCCGGCCCCGGCATTCTTGCACGTCCCGCACATGCCCCGCACAGGTACGCACAGTATTCGCACAGGCCGAGCTCGCCAGTGGCCGAGCCAGGCCAGCGATTCCGAGATTCCCTGAGCTCGGGCCGTCAAGCCACTTTCGCCTGAGACATCCTCGCAACTCTCACCTCCTCCTCCTCCTCCTCCTCCTCCTCCTCCTCCTCCTCCTCCTCCTCTCTTCTGGCCGAGCCGAACAGGCGGGCGGGCCGGCCGAGCCGGGGGCGTCCGCCTCCTCCGCCCCCCCCTCCTTCCCCCCCCCTCCACCTCCCCCCCCCCCACCCCTGCTTCTCCGGCCGAGCTGAGAAGGCGCGCGGGAGAGTGTTTTACTAGGAGGGCACGCCACCGCCAGCTCACGAACCGGGCGAAGAACCGCCCCCGCCAGCAGCGGGCGAGTCTAAACGCACAACAAACTCTTTCAGGAAGCCCTGGCACGCCCCAGGTTAGCTCTGCGAAGGCCAGGAGGCATTGGAGGCACAGGGGTCCCAGACAGCTCCTAGGGCATGAGCCTGCATGTGCATTGGGATGTGCACGCATGTGCGCCCGCGCGCTTCACCGCATGTGCGTGCATGTGCGGGCCCGCGCGGCCTCCCGAAGAGAGGTTGCACAGGCATGTGCGTGCATGTGCCGATGACAGATCTGCGATTCTCGAACACCTCCCGCATGTGCAGGCATGTGCGCGCATGTGCGTCGGACTGTGCGTGCATGTGCGTATGATGGATACATCAAAACACAGCGCACATGCCCCCGCACATGCCCGGGCACGACGTGCACAGTAGGAAGTCCATCCAAGAAGGGCCGCACAGGCCTGGCACATGACTGGCACATGCCGCGCACATGCGCGCACATGACAGCGCAAAAACGGCCGCACATACACCCACCCAGGGGTATAGATGTGAGTGCGGTGTATGTTTCCTCCTCGTCCACCTCCTCCTCCTCCTCCTCCTCGTCCTCCTCGTCCTCGTCCTCCTCCTCCTCCTCAGCATCCTCCTCGCCCTCGTCCTCGTCCTCCTCCTCCTTTCCTTCTGCTTCCTCCGCCTCCGCCGTCCGCTCGGCTGTCCGGCCGGCCGCCGCGCACTCGCTGTCGGCCGCCGCCAGCGCGGCGATCCCTCTCCAACCGCCGCCCCCGCCGCCGCGGGCCGCCGCCATGTCCGCCGCCGTCGCCGTGGCCGCCGCCTCGTCGTCGTCGTCGTCGTCGTCGTCGTCGTCGTCGTCGTCGTCGTCGTACCGTAGTCGTTGTCGTCATCGCCATGGCCGCCGCCGCCGCCGTCGTCGGTGTCGTCGTCCTTCTCGTCGTCGTTCTCGTCGTCCTTCTCGCCGTCATTCTCGTCGTCCGCGTCGTCCTTGCCCTCGGCCCCGTCCGTGCCGCGTGCCGTCCAGTTTGAGGGCCAGAGAACAGCGGTACCACCATCACCAGCGCGAGGAAACAAGGTTGGGTCCTCCTGGTGGTGTGATCCCTCCCCCCCCTCCCCGTTCGCCACATCCGTATCCCCCAAGGGAGGCATCGCGGACCTCCCCGTCAGAGTGGCACCCCTGGTGGTGGCGGCGTTGGCTTCTTTTTGTCCGGTCGTTCTGCCTTTCTCTCCAGTTAAGCCTGCCTGCGATGCTCTCATTCTATGTTTGAACAAGCGGTGGATGCGCGGCCTGCGACAGCTGGCGCTCCTCGAAGTTCCCTGACCCTATTCCTTCACAATGGCGTTCCTCGGGGTTGCTTGGCGTTCTTCGGGTTCCCTGGGTCCTCTGGTCGTGTCTCCTGTCTTTGACAGGCCGGCCGTCCACGGTTTCACTGGGCTCCCTGGCATGATTTCCGCTCAGTTTTTGAAGAGGCGTCGTACATTTGCCAAGCAATTTGAAGCATTGCCGAACGATGCCAAGCAATGTCAAGAACATACATACCAAATAGTGCAAATGAATACAACGTAATGTCAAACAACACCGAACAATGCCGAACAACGCAAGTCAATGCCAACAAGTGCAAAGCAATGCCTGGCAATGCCAGGCATGCAAAGCAATACCGATAACTCCGATGCAAAGCACCACCTCAGCGCCGCCTTCCTCCCCAACGCCAACGCCAACCGTACCACCGCCAGCGGACATCGCACGCGACCTTTCACCAGCGCGGACACCGCACGGGGACATCCCTCGCCTACCGCAGCCTCTCTCCCCAACGCGGACATCGCACGCTGTCTTTCCAACGTCTTTTCAACGTCGACCGTAACACCTCAGCGCTGCCTTGCTCCCACTCCGCGCAGACTGCTCCCCGATGTACCCCGACACCGCGGCTCCTCGGCTGCGCGTACCCGCCGTGCGGCGGCCGGTAGGACGCGGCCGCAGGGAAGGCCTGCAGGTCCGACGGGTACCCGTCCACCTACCGTTGGGGGGCGCGGGGCGCCGATAGGCGATCAGATGTGATCCATGCCTCTGCTTACGTTCCGACCCCACGAGGGGCCAGAGCGGCGGCACGGGTAACATTCTGGCCTCCGGAGCCACATTTGATCTAGCCATGCCCTGCTTCCCCTGGAGCCCAGCGTGGGTGGCAACATGCGGCAGCAGAAGGAATTTGAATCGAGCGTCGATCGCCGAAATGATCGGATGGATGGCGGGCGCTACCGCGGGGGGCGGGAGGACAGGCATCGGAACAATCATATCGAACACCCATGCAAAATGTATCTGTCTATGCCCCCCCTGCCCCCAATGATCAAAATTGGTGGTGACTCTGATGAGTTGCACGTGAACCGCAGTCTTCCCCGCGCGTGCAAACTTTCAATTTGGAACGAGGGGGAGTGTCCACTCATGTCTTCTCTCTACAGGATGGATGGACTTAGACAAGATGCAACGGCAGAGACATAAACTTTCGGATGCGAGCGCAGCCACGGAGCTCCCTGTGGGGCCTCGAAACGTGTGAGGGGCGTGCCAAAATACGCGCGGTGGGCCCCAGCGAACGCAGCCACTGGGGCCTTTGGTGGAGTTCTCTGTGTAGCCACGAAACGCGTGAAGGGTTTACCGAAATTGGTCCGGTGGGCGCATGCGAACGCAGCCGCTGGGGCCTTCGGTGGAGCTCCCAGTGGGGCCAGGAGACGTGTGAGGGTATGCCGACCTGGGTGCAATGGGCGCATGCGAGCGAAGCCACTGGGGCCATCGGTGGCGCTCCCTGTGAGGCCACGAAACGTGTGAGGGGTGTGCCGAAGTAGGTGCAGGCGCATGCGAATGCAGCCACGGGGGCCTTCGGTGGAGCTCCCAGTGGGGCCAGGAGACGTGTGAGGGTGTGCCGACCTGGGTGCAGTGGGCGCATGCGAGCGAAGCCACTGAGGCCTTCGGCGGTGCTCCGTGTGGGCTCACGAAACGTGTGAGGGTGTGCAGAAATAGGTGTAGTGGGTCGCGGGCCGCATGAGGATGCAGACAGGGAGGGATGCATATATGAGAGGGGGGCAAGCTAGGTGTGCTCGCGTCATATCTGACATCCTATGCCCTCCATCCCATCCCTTACCATGGCGTAGAGCTCCTCTCTACTCGCACAGTCGGATGTCGAGCAGGGCAAAGCTCCCGAGAGGGTGTGCGATGCATCGCAGAGCACGGCATAGCAGGGCGTAGAAGAGCACGGCACAGCGAAGTATGTCATAGCATGGCGTGGCGTTGCGTAGTGAAGAATTGCGTCACAAAACGTTACAACGCAAATCCGCCGACCCTGTCGGCGTGTGGAAGGCGCATCCCGGTGTCGTCGTCTTGCGTGGAGCACCGTCGTCGTCGTCGTCGTCGTCGTCGCCCGAAATAAAAGGAAATCGATCACGAAACAGAAGGAAATCGTCGTCGTGGCGAAGCCCCTCCCTACCCTCCCCAGTGGGTGGGTGGGTGGGTGGGTGGGTGGGTGGCAGGGGAGGGGGGGGGAGGGGGGGGCAGATACGCATGCCCCCCCTGGCGACCCTCTCCCCCCTCTCCCCTCCCCCTCCCCCTTCTCCTCCTCCTCCTCCTCCTCCTCCCTCCTACTCCTCCTCCTCCTCCTCCTCCTCCCCCTCCTCCACCTCCTCCTCCTCCTCCTCCTCACCTCCTCCTCCTCCTCCTCCTCCACCTCCTCGTACTCCCCTCCTCCTCCTCCTCCTCCTCGTACCCTCCTCCTCCTACTCCTCCTCCTCCTCCTCCTCCTCCTCCTCCTCCTCCTCCTCCTCCTCCTCCTCCTCCTCCTCGTACTCCTCCTCCTCCTCTCCTCCTTCCTCTCCTCCTCCCTCGTCCTCCTCCTCCTCCTCCTCCTCCTCCTCCTCCTCCTCCTCCTCCTCCTCCACCTCCCCCCTCTCCTCCTCCTCCTCCTCCAAACCTCCATCTCCACGCTCCTCCTCACTCCTCCTCCTCCCTCCCCCCTTCCCCCCCTCCTCCTCCTCCTCTCCTCCCTCCTCCTCCTCCTCCTCCTCCTCCTCCTCCTCCTCCTCCTCCTCCTCCTCCTCCTCCTCCTCCCCTCCTCCTCCTCCTCCCCCCCTCCTCCTTCTCCTCTTCCTTCTCCTCCTCCTCCTTCTCCTCCAGCTCCTCCTCCTCCTCCTCCTCCTCCTCCTCCTCCTCCTCTCCTCCTCCTCCCTCCTCCTCCTCCTCCTCCTCCTCCTCCTCCTCCTCCTCCTCCTCCTCCTCCCCCTACTCCCCCTCCTCCTCGCCTCCTCCTCCTCATCATTTTCCACGGCCTCCGTCTCCGCCCACTTCGTCGCCGACGTCGTGGTCCTCTTCAGGGTCGGCGGCACCGGCCGTCAGGCCTTCGCAATAAGGAACAAAACCTTTTTTCTAAGGAGTAACGCATAAGGAACGATACGGAATCCATAACGCATAAGGAACGATGAATAAGGAAGGAAGCCTAAGGAACGACCTAGCCCCTTTCGAAAAGTAAGCGTTCCTTATTCAAGCCGCTCACTGTACTGATGAGGGCGGTGAAGCCACGCAGTGCTGCTGCCGCTCACCAAAAACAGCTGCGGCTTTGGCGTTTGGTGGCTTACGTCGAGCGCACGCTGGCGGGACGCGAAGACGTAACCACGCCACGGCGCCGAGACTCCACCAAAAAGCTGGCTGCTGCGACTTTTCCCCAGGGGTGTCGTGCAGTTGCCCCCCTTGCAGATTCTCGTCCTCCCCGTCCTCCGCCGCACCTTCCCACCTCGCGCACTCGTTTACAGAAAGCTGTTTCCGCAGCCGGCGATGCCTCAACACAGCCGCAATATAATGTGCACGCGAATCGAGCATATACATAACACTCCTGCACATGAACATGAGCATGCCATTTAGAAACACTTGCGTCAGCACTTGCAGGGGGTGGTCCACGTGAAAAAAACACAAGTCACATGCAACGGTACCATCATGCCACGCCTCAGACATACCCCACTGCAGACATGCTCGGCAGGTGACTGTGGTGGTGCGCTGGGGTATACAAGTATTCTTCTGAGGGCATGGCTCCAGCTGCAACGTATGTGCATTGTGGAGGCGAGTGGCGTGCGTGAAGAGACCCGCACGCAAAAGGCACCATGTGCCGTCTTATGATTTCGGTGCTCTGCGGAATGCGATCCCCGGTCTGCAAAGCCGTCGAAACCGAGCGGATGGCCGTCCGCGAAAGCTTCCCGCCCTCCCTGATAAGAGGAGGAAAAAAGAGGAGGAGGAGGAGGAGGAGGAGGAGGAGGAGGAGGAGGAGGAGGAGGAGGGCTTGGGATCGAACCTCGAGGGAACAACACTGCTACAGCTGCTCATCCCCCAGGGCCCCCCCCAGCCAAAATGCATGCTTCGACACCCAACGGGCATAGTTGATGGGACCTGAGGCGCCCCTTCGGCGATCCTCGAGGCATCCCCCCGAGGCGCCCCCCGAGGCGCCTCCATGGCAGCAGCCGCCACTGCCGGGTGGACGGGTGCGCGCAGCCGCTGGCCGCCCTGGGGCACCGCACCTCGCCACCTCGCCCACCCCTTTCAGGAAGTGCGGGCACGGCCGCTGGGGTCGGGGCCGGACCTTCACTGGCAGGGGGCGAACAAGAAAGGCTCCAGCCGCTCGCGGGATGATGTTCTCATGGGGGCTTCGCACGAGGATCCGTGCGGGGAGAAGCTGTCACGGGGGCCCTTTTGAGTTTACGAACGTACCCTATGAACGCACCACGATGTCACGTCAATAAGCGCGGCTGCGTGCCGAATGCATCAACAGCCACGCTCTGGTGAGAGAAGATGCAAAGGCGCTCTCTGATGGACCACACTTCTGGCTGCAATCAACCATCTGCGTTGGATGATGATGATGGTGATGATGATAGTGATGTCGACGGCGATGGCGATGACGATGATGATGTTGATGATGATCATGATGATGCTGGCGATGGTGGTGATGGTGTTGATGGTGATGATGATCATGATGATGGTGATGGTGATGATGGTGACGACGATGACAACAACGACGATGATGATCATGATGGTGCTGTTCATGATGAGGACACCGATGATGATGATGATGATGACGATGATGATGATGGTGATGATGATGATGATATGATGATGATGACGGTGACGATGAGCACGATAATGAAACGAATGGGGGTGATGATTAGGAGGAGACGGACGCTGATGGCGATGAGGCTGATAATGGTGACGATAATGCGGATGACGATGATTATGGTGACGATGGTGATGATGATGATGATAATGATGATGATGATGATGATGAGAATGGTGGCGATGGTGATGGTGATGGTGATGGTGATGGTGATGACTGCACGTACTCAACGAGAGACGAGACGAGGGCAAGCGGGCAAGACGCGAGAAGAGGGCAAATCGTCTCGCTCCCCGCCTGTTTCCGCTACGCCTACCTCAAGATGCACGTAGTACGCTCGACGCTCTGGCCGCCAGCATGGGGCCATACACGGCGAGCGGAAGGATGTAAATCACGAGCTGCATTCGGGAACGAGGGAAACGGAGGGATGGTGGGAAGGGCGGGGGACGAAGGGCAAAAGGGAAGAAACGACGAGGAGCGGGATGGAGCGTGCCACGTGTAGGGCACCGGGCTACAATGGCGGGCGGTGGGTGCCACAGCGTCATGCGCATCATCCGCCAATCCGGGCGGCAGAACAACACAATCATCATGTGGAAGCCCCGAACTTGGGGCATACCAGTCCGTCTGCGTGGCCAATGAGAGACGAGCATCAGCACCGAAATTGGACGAGGTCCGAGCGGCGAAAGTACAGCGCGCCAGGAACCGTCCAATCGCGCCCGTCGCCAGCCGCAGCGTGCAGAAATTAACCAGCATCAGGAAGAGCTTGTTCGGGAAGGTCGGCGTCGGCCGAACAGCGAAGGTACGGAGTACCAGGTAGAGCCCAGTCATGCCAATCGCCTTCAGAATAGTCGTCGCACGCATCAACGTGCAGAGCGTGGGCTGGGCGAGCAGCGGCAGCGGCTCCATGATCAGCTTCAGGGGGATCTTGTTCGGGAAGAGCGGCGCCAACCACTTCTTCAACCCAAGTATCGTCGTGCAGAGGTTCACAACTCACGTCCGAGTCGGAATGGGTATCATGATATTGCCACAGCTAGAGGTCGAACATGTCGTATAGCAAGCGATGGTGGTGGTGATGATGATGCTGATGATGATGCTGATGCTGCTGCTGCTGATGATGATGACGATGACGATGACGATAATGATGATGATGCTGATGATGATGATGATGATGCTGAGTGATGATGATGAATGAACGGCCCTTCCGCTTTCCACCCTCGCATGTTACCCGAATCCTCCAAAGAACGCGCCTCATGCAACGCGAATTGCGATTCCCGTCGCGCTCTCGCACGGCCGCCCGTGGAGAAGAGCAGGTTTCCGAGTCATACCGCGAAGCGCGAGCATCTTTTCGAATACACAGTCTTCCCCGCTGCGCCACTACCTCGGGACGAAAAGTGCATATCCTAAGTAAGAACGTCTGGTCTACCAACTCAGGCTGGAAGGAAAGAGACATCCATAGCCAGTGCAGCCATCTGGCTAGACAATGGGACGACTTGTCATTGCCTAGAAGCAAAGGTCCTCACGCAAAGAAAAACAAACCACAACCGACTGGGCCCAGCAGCCGTGTTCGTGGTGATGTCCTCTTCTGTCCCCCCGCCACGAGACATGCAGAGCATGCACACGGTCTACGTGCTCGTTGCATTCTCTCTAAGTCCCTTCTTGTGTGGCAGCGCGGCGCTGATACTTATAGTAATCCCACCAACCCTTCGGCGCTAACTTTTCAGATACAGTCTCTTCTTACCCATGAAGTTACGGATACGGCACAATCGACGGCGCAACCAAGACGAATACCTGCACTAGGCAAGCATGCCTGCCGAAAAAACGCACAACCCAGGTAACGGGCCTGACATGGTTTGAATACCAAATTCCCCTTCATCACCCTCCTGGGCCATCTCCTCGCTGCTGCCGCCCGAAGCATAACCTACGGGAGAATACCGAGGCGGATTGCCAACGGGAAGGCATGCTACCATTCATCCTCCGGGGAGGTTGAGCGTCCGATGTGGCCCTAGATTGTTCCAAATTAACTCCCAATAACCGCGGCAAGTCGTTAGACCCCCCAAAAACACAGTTAGAAACTTACTACCTTGTCTGCAACCTGATTGGCGGACGGGGGGGCACCGATAGTGGAACATAGTTCTGTCTTCGCGGCACCCGCCGCACAACAACGACGGCGACGACTACGACTACAAGTAGCTAGCGGCCACGACTACTATTACGACTACGGCCACGAGTACGACCACGACTACGACTAGGGACCTGCAGCAGTTCTGCCAGCAGCAGTAGGGAGAGCAGTTCGAGATACATCGCAGCTCAAAACGATGTACATTCTGATTGCAACCCTCATGGGAATATGCTCACAATTCCTCACGCGTGTGGGGTATCCCACGGTGGACTCTTCTCTGGGAGCAATAACCACCCAAGACTATCCAGACCACCGAACGTGACTGGGAAGCTCTTCCCCTGCCCTCGCAAGCGCCGACCAGGCGCCAGCAGCAATTCTGCCAGCAACACCGGGCAGGCGAGTGCGAGAAGCCTCGGCACTCAGCACGACGCACGTGTCCGCTGTGATCCTCGTGGGGAGATGCTCGCACGGCCTCCCGCGCGTGGGGCAACCCAACACGGGTAATCCCCATTGGGGAAAGAGCCCCCCAGCACGGCACGGCCGTCCCAACCATAGAGAGAACAGCACATCCGCCGCGAGGATGACGACGACGGCGACATCGACGTCGTCGTAGTCCTCGTCGGCGTCGTCGTCGTCGCTGGCATTGTCCTTCTCGACGCCCTTCCTCTCCTCGTCTTACGGCTCGTCCTCCTCCCCCCCTCCTCCTCCTGCTCCTGCTCTTCCTCATCCTTCTCCTCCTTCCCTCCCGCTCCTCCTCCTCCTCCGGAGTGAGACGAGGATGAGCAGGAGGAGGACGAGGAGGAGGAGGAGGAGGAGCAGGAGGAGATGAAGGAGGAGGAGGAGGAGGAGGAGGAGGAGGAGGAGAAGGAGGAGGGGGGGGAGGAGGAGGAGGAGGAGGAGGAGGAGGAGGAGGAGGAGGAGGAGGAGGAGGAGGAGGAGGAGGAGGAGGAGGAAAAGAAGAAGGAGAAGGATGAGGACGAGGAGGAGGAGGAGGAGGGGCGACTTACTTCCCGCCGAGAGAAACAAGGTGGGACAAAAACTAAATATCTACCGAGGTTAGCCTGAAAGTGTCTCCAAGATTGCGGAACCTGGCGCAGGTCCGATCTGTCTCCGAGCATGCCTCCAGTAGGCCCCAGGACGGCTCTGAAACGTCGCCAAGTTGCCCCCGAGAAACCCAAATTGCAAAATGCGTGCTGCCTTGTCGGGATTCCGGGCTCTGATGGGATCGGACAAGAACGGGGAGCGCCGATGTTGTCCTCTGGGCTCGTAGGGGGAATACCAGAGAAGGATGTTGGCGACGACAAGGCGGCGGATGTCGAGGATGATAACGTGGATGACGAGGAGGGCAGCGAGGGGAGCAGAAGGATAACGAGTAGGAAGACAAGCACAAGGACGAGGAGGAAGACATGGAGGAGGACGAGTACGAGGAGGAACGAAGGACGACGACGACGACGACGAAGAAGGACTGTAACGAGCCTAACGAAAAGGATGTCGACGAAGAGAGGGATCCTCGTGATCTTTTGAGGCTACCCTGGGGCTATTCTTGGGGCATCCTAGGAGACTCTTGGGGGGGCTGTCGGGGTCCTCTTGGAGGGTACTGGGGTCTTCTTGGGCTGTCTGGGCATGTCTTAGGGTTCTGTGGGGGCTCTCTCAGGCCATCTTGGCGCCATCTTGGGCCGTCTTGGGGCCCTCTTGAGCAGTCGGGCGGTCTTGGAAAACATGAAACATTCGCCCCAATGCGTGCTGCCTTGTCGTGATTTCGGGCTCCGATGGGCCTCGGAAGCCCACATCCGCCGCCGTGACCACTGGCGCGCAGAGGGTCTGGTAGGGTTCCTGTAGTCACCTAAAGGACCCCTCCTCCTCTCCAAACATCCCCGGTTTCCGTGCTTCCTCTCCTCTCATACCCCCTCCCCGGGCTTCCTGGGCCGTCCTGGCGCCTCTGTGGGTCCGTGGGGCTCTCGAGGGATCTCGAAAGCTCCCCAAACGGCTCAAGTCGGTCAGACAAAGCCGCCGGGACGCCCCAGCATTGCCTCAACACGCACCCGAAAGCCCCTGCCATGTGCCAACAGGCCCTAACATCTCTAAGGCACTAGCCAGGAGGCTCTCGAGAAGCCAAAAAACACTAATTCTCCACCTCGCACGCTGAGCCGAGCCCCGAATACCACGGCCGCCGGGCCCCAGAAGTCCGGTCCGGAATGTCCCAAGTATCCCGCCTCGCCCACCAGCCCT